TGAATTGACAATCCGACCGTTGGATCATCACCAAACTTTGATACGTTGTAATACGTAATATTTGAGGATTATAGGAACTTACGGATTGGGAATCCGATTTACGGATCTTCCGGAATTGGAGTTGTAAGTTCATAAAATAGAATGTTAACCGTCACTTGGTTTTGGAAATTGACGGAGATCCGACCGTTGGATGGTAATGAAATTTTAGGATATTGTCCTTGAGGTATATTGTGGACCTCTGGAAGTTATGGATTTGAAATATGAGTTTCAAATCTTCCGGATCGAACTGCGTAGTGACGTGTTTTATATAAGTTATATATTCTATCGATATGATTTCTGAGGTTGGATTTGATTATTGTTCTAGGCGGCGATCGTCATGATGCCTTGATGTGTTGTGCTAGGGAGTTGTAGGGTGAACTCTAGGTGAGTGGGCAGTACTTTCTATTTATACCTATATACTATGAATTTTCCCAGAAATTGAGCTTTAATGAAAGTATGTTTCTAAAATGTCATGCATGCATAATATGAATGATATGAGTTATATGAATTGATAATTGATGCATATATATATATGTGAATTGGTGTTGTGGACGCACAGGTAAGTATCAAGTGAGTTTTATATTATTCATGTGAATCATTGATGATGTGTATTATGTTGATAGCTCATAACCTGCAATCATGGTGTTAGTGCTTATATTATTCACCTCGCACCGCACGCTCACCTTGGATCCAAGTAGGTGCATGTCGTACAGACCATGAGAGGGTTCCGACATGTCGTACAGACCATGAGAGGGTTCCGACTGACAGGTGACCTTAGATTATGTGCACAGATGATTTATGAGAGAAGCACTAGAGCGTATTATTACACCATTCATGTCGTACAGACTACTTCAAGTAGTTCCGACTTATATGCAGTGTAGTGCCGCACAGGTCACCGAGGTGACTCCGGTTGGATTGGATGTTGAGCTATAGAATTAACCATACAAGACCAACTGCAGGGTATTCGGTTAATTCACCATTTCACCTGTTACATTGATGCATCATTCATTCTGTTTTTGAAATTATAACATGGCATACTTTCTGGTTTTTGAGAAAAATTGATGATTTGAGATTTATGAAAAGTATTATGCTATTATGCTATTTTCTGGGAAAGTATACAGGTTTTACAACGAGGGGTTAGAAATGTTTTAAATGAAAAGTTTTCGAAAAACTTTGTTTTACTGACCCACTCAATTTTGTTTTGCGCCCCTCCAAGTTCTAGATAGCAGAGCTTTGGTGGCCACGAGGAATCCAACAGTGTTCTGACAGAATTCACAAAAGTAGGACTCACCCTCAGGTGTTTCATCTTAGTAATTGTATTTTTCAAAGCTTCCGAACTGTGTAAATGGTTACGTCACTCTCACGTGACGGCCAGCATGCACTCCTTCGGGACGGGGTGTGTCATTAAAACTCCATAAATAATTAAATGTCCATTTGGTCTAGCAATGTTCACATTTTAAAAGAAGTCATTTATTTTTATTATACAAGTGATAGTGAGAGAATGAAGATTCAAACTCAGGACCTTAAGTGTAATGTAAGGGCTCGTTTGTTTGACCTCCTTGGTTAGGATTGGACTAGCTAAGACTAATAACCCACGTTTGGCATTAGACCCAGCAGTTTCTTACACGATATGAAAAGAACGGGTTTCAGGTCAATACGATAACTAACCGGGTCATTATCAGGTGACCCGTTAAGAACTTGTTAATAACAAGTTCTTAATAGGTATACACGCGGGTAACACGTGAGTAACCCGTTTCAACCCTCTAAAAAAAAATTATAATTTTAAAGTTTAATTACTAAAAAAATTATTATAAAATACAATAGCCATATTGTATATATTGGTATATTCTATATTAAATATATATATTTTTTTTATTATTCTATATAAGTTAAAAAAATTAAGTTTTATTCATTTATTTATCTTTATTATGAGAGTTTCTTATTATCGTTAATATGATAAATTTTACTTAACATGTTGTTGTCCAAAATTAAAATCAACTAGTATAGTATTAGTATAGGCAATAAGACATCCCTACAAGTATGAAACATGTGAAATTATATATAAACACTCGTGATTCATAATTCCTCCATGAGTAGACAATGGTTACACTTACATTATCGTTTAGATTTTTAAAGCCCTCCAAACCGCCATGAATAGTGTTTTTTATGTTAGTGTAAAAGTAATAAAATTAATAATAATTATTGTAGAAGTGTAAGAAATGTTTAAAAAAATATACAATCACTTGTAGTGACATGCTTTACAACTTTCGTGAACGGGTCAACTTCAAAATCCGACGCTATAATCCATAAACCTTAAATTTGTATTTAACAATCGATTGTCGTTTAGGCTTTATTCTTTATATTGAATTTCATTTTTAAAATTTTCATTTTTGAAAACATGATATTCTGGAGGATGTAGGAAGATGAACGGTTCGGATCTTTGATATCACGTCCCAATATTTACAGTTAATTGAAATATGAGTCGATGTTATGTAGTTTGTACAAACTTTATAAACACCAAGCAATATTTTCACTAACGGTAAAACTCTAAGCATAATATCAATGATCCGAATCGTTCATCTTCATGTATCCTCTAATAGATCATCTGAAGAAAAAAACAAAATTTGGTGAGAAAAATAAAGCATGAATGTAAACAACAATTGATGGTTAAATTTTGATCTATGATTTATATGATTATAGTGACACATTTCAAAGTTAAGCCCTTCCCGAAAGTTGTAAAGCTTGTCATTACGAGCGTTTATATATTTTTTTCTATATTTTTTCACACTTCTACATTAATTAAAAAACTATTAAAGACTTTACTTAAACAATAGCCATAGGATAAATGATAAGAGAGTGCTAATGTAGAAAGCCACACTGAAAATATCATCAATATAACTCTTGAAGATAATATATCAAGCCAAAGTTCCAATACCGCTTCTCATGGTGACTAATGAAAATTGAAGAGTGTGATTGTAAGAAATGTGCAAGATTCCAAACCTTGAAACATAACTCCCTTAATTTTGCAAATCTTTTGAACATTTGATATTTTGTAATGTTCTAAAGTTTTTTTTTATTATTATTATTTTGTGTATGTAAATATGTAATACTTGAAAGACAAATGCGTTTTTATGTTTTGAATGTGATAATATGATATGTATATACTTATTTAGTATTATGTTTTTCATTTGATTATTTATTAGTTTAAAATATATTTTTCTTAAAGGGTAATAGGTCGGGTCATATTACCTGTTAATATTATCGGGTCGGGTCATTTTACTTGTTTATTTTAACGGGTGTTACATGACACGACCCGTTAAGATATCGGATATGACATGAAAACGACACGAACACAGGAACACGACACGAATGCCAGGTCTACTTGGCATGGATATGGAATAAGTTAAATGGGACTAACCCAGACTCGCATGGACTACCGGCCTCATTAAGTCGTCCTAATTAGTCCGACCCAAAAGCATGTGATTGCTAAGAACCTCAATACACTGCTTCCCTCGCCGTCTCCTTCACGTGAATTGGTGGGAGCGAACCGTTGTTCTTCGTCAAAGTTATTGATCCTCCGATGAGCTTCCAGAACAAGTCTCCTCCCTTTCTTGGATCGATATGGGAATTGGGGGATGAACTTGGTAATTAGAGTTGCTCATGAAATTGGTCAATTTGCGTTAAAAATTGATAATTATTTCTCTTGAATTGAAGAATAACCATCTGGTTGTCCATTTTTTCCATGCTGATGTTGTGCCCATTGGATGTGGTCAAGAAATTCCAATAAAAATTTTCAAAGCTCTTGTTGAAGCTCTGCCATGGTAGCTTGACAACTCTATCCTATTTCTGATGGGTGAGTGGGTCGGCCCACGGGAGGGTTGAAAAAGCACTGCCGAGATGAGGATTGAAGACAATGGAACAAATTTTCAAATTTCGGTTTCGTCAATTTTGGAGGAGACAAAGGATAAAACGGAAGTGTTCTAATGGATTTGATGGATTTGATATTTTATTATTTATTATTTATTAGTTTTTAGTTTTTCTTTTGTAAAGCAAGTGTGGATTAAAATTGAAAAAAAAAAAAAACGATTTGAGTTCTTAAATATTTTAGTCTATAGTTTAGTCTAGCACTGTACCAAACACTTCACTATTCTTATCCTACTTAGTCCAAGCCAAGCCAGTCCAGGTTAGTCCAGTCCAAGATAGTCCGGTGTAACAAATGCACCCTAAATGTTCATAACCGAGAAGTGATTGCAGCACAAGGACTTCAATGTTTTAATGAAATTTGATGTGTGAGTTATTATGATCACATTATTTACTTAAAAGAGGCCATGTGGTCAAATTTCATGGATTATAATTGTTGATTAATAAATAAGGAATTATTATGGGCACTTCAAATATCTATTGTGCACTCCTCATGAGAATATTTTTTTTTTTTAAATATAGAAAATTTGGAGTACACAACTAGATTTTTAAAATGTCAATAAATAAATAGCAACCACGGGCTGGAGCACTCCTCATATATAAATATCCCCACCCTAAACGCAAAACCACGCCATACAAACATTTTCCTCATAAAAAAGGCAAAGATGAATAACTTTGCTTATTTTGGTAAGAAAGTGCAACAGCTCTGTAGTTGTTCATTTCTCAAACTAGCACATCTTAGCAAATCCATAGGCTTTCTACTTCTACGTTACTACCATTGCTTCCTCCAAAGGGCAAAGCCATTTTGGATGGAACTAGTCTATTTTGTCACCCTTTCTGTTCTTGGTTTTGAGGTTCTCAAGGCTTTGAAGCCAAGAACCGATCATTCTTTTAGGCCTAGGAACTTAGATTTGTTATTCACCTCGGTTTCTGCAACAACTGTTTCCAGCATGTCTACTGTTGAAATGGAGGTCTTCTCCAATGGTCAACTCATTATTTTAACCATTTTAATGTTCATAGGTGGGGATGTCTTCACGTCCATGTCTGGACTTCAATTGAAGAAGTTCAAACTCATGCTATTAGCCAAACACAAAGTTGTTCCGATTAGTAGTGATGTTAGTTCTTCGTCAAGTACAACAAATCTTGTAATCGATCAAATCGAAATGGGCTTGGCAACCAAGCGTCAAGATTTGGATATAGGGATGGACATTGATCATGGCCAAATTGATAAACCATTAGATGGTGAATCTTTGAAGTTTCATGCAGTCGGGTTTTTGGGTTATGTGGTTTTAGGTTATCTTCTAGTAGTTCATAGTCTTGGGGTCACAAGAAATGTACTAAAACCCAAGGGGTTAAACCTTCATACACTCTCGCTTTTCACCACAGTTTCAACTTTCTCAAGTTGTGCTTTTGTTCCAACCAATGAAAAACATGATGGCTTTCTGCAAAAACTCAGGTCTCCTCCTCATACTTATTCCTCGAGTCCTTTTTGGCAACACACTGCTGCCCTCATGCTTGAGATTTCGATTTGGGTTTTAGGAACACTTTTCACAAAGAAAAAACAATTGTGCAATTACGTGTTGAAGAACACGGGAGATTGGGTTCCTACATTTGCTACCAAACCTCCACTCATCACTTTTGGTTGTCACAGTTTTTGGGTTGATTGTGGTACAATGGGTACCACTTTTATCCTTGGAGTGGAGTTCAGACAGCTTAAGTGGACTAAATCCTTACCAGAAAATCATTGGCGCTTAGTTCCAAAGTGTGAATTCAAGACATGCCGGGGAAACTATCCTGACCTATCGATCACTTCCCCCGCCATTTTGGTATTATTCGTCGTGATGATGTGAGTTTTCTCTCTCTTTCCATCCTTGCATCTATTCATCTATGCATAAAAATTCTAGGGTGATAACATTTTTCTACCACATTAGTTTATCATTTAACTCCGCGTGTGTAAGTTTATTTTACATTGCCGGTCCCAAGCCCGGGTAAAGGAGGAGGGGGAGGGCGTCAGGTAGTCGACAGCCGGCACTCCTCAGTTACGTCGAATCCTTATGAAAATGAATCCAGAACGAAATCACGCTAAAGCTAGGGCGTCACCCGTAAGTGACGCGCTGTGTGGCCCGAGCACAATGATAAGTGAGCAAGGGTCGTTGTATCTCCATCGGCACCCGGATGCAATGTTAAATGAGCAAGGGGGCCATAGAAATTTCTTTTCGAACGACTCCACTCAAAGTTGTTTGGGAGCATATGCTCCTATCAACTTTACACAGGACACAAAAGTACTTTGATCCTATTGGACGGGGGAGAGTGAATGCGTTTAGAAATGTGGAATATAGGAACCTGAACGGGAAAATCTATGGAAGTAGTGGAAGTTATGGTGAGGAGAAGGATAAATATTATGTGCCTACAAGAAACTAAGTGGGTTGGTCTTAAGGCAAAGGATCTAGAAAACTCAGGGTTTAAACTTTGGTATTCGAGCACAAATAGAACGAGAAACGGTGTTGGCATCATCGTGGACAAGACCTTGACACAAGATGTTGTAGATGTCAAGAGGGTAGGAGATAGAATCATGGCAATCAAGATTGTAATATGACAAGAACTCATCAATGTGATTAGTGCGTACACACCTCAAGTAGGGTTGGATACGAGTTCGAAGGAGAAATTTTGGGAAGTCCTTGGAGACTTGGTGCAAGGAATTGCCCAAACAGAGAAGTTATTTATAGAAGGAGATTTAAATGGACACGTGGGCAGGGAGACAGGCAACTATGGAGGTTTTCATGATGGCCATGGTTTTGGGGAGAGAAACGAGGATGGGGAAGCTATCTTGGATTTTGCAATGGCATATGATCTCTTCTTAGCCAACACCTTCTTTAAGAAGAGAGAAGAACATGGGATCACCTACAAGAGTGGGTCGTCAAAAACATAAACAGATTTTCTTCTAATGAGGAAAGGGGATCGTATAACTTGTAAGGATTGCAAAGTTATACCGGGAGAGAGCTTGGCTAATCAACATCGCTTGTTGGTGATGGATGTACATATCAAAAGAGTGAGAAAAAAGAACAAGACTTGGAAGTGCCCAAGGACTAGATGGTGGAATCTAAAAGGAGAAAAACAAGCCATTTTCAAAGAGAAAGTAATCACCCAGCGTGGGTGGGATAGAGAGGGGGAAGCTAGCCAAAGGTGGGATTCCATGGCTAGTTGTATCCGAAAAGTAGCAAAAGAGGTATTAGGAAAGTCCAAGGGCTCTGCTCCACACCAAAAGGAATCTTGGTGGTGGACTAAGGAGGTACAAACAAAGGTGAAGGCTAAGAAGGAATGTTGTAAAGCCTTACACAAGGACAGGACCGATGAAAATGGTGAAAGGTATAGAAGAGCGAAGCAAGAGGCGAAGAAAGTTGTGAGAGAAGCTAAGTTAGCGGCTTATGACGACATGTATAAGCGACTAGATACCAAAGAAGGAGAGTTGGATATCTATAAACTAGCTAGAGCAAGGGAAAAGAAGACAAAGGACCTAAACCAAGTGAGGTGCATCAAGGATGAGGATGGAAAGGTTTTTGCTACAGAGAATGCGGTTAAAGACAAATGGAGAGGTTATTTTCATAATCTTTTCAATGAAGGACATGAAAAGAGTACTTCTTTAGGGGAGTTGAGTAACTTAGAAGAGTGTAGAAACTACTCATTTTATCGTCGAATCAGGAAGGAAGAAGTGGTTGTAGCTTTGAAGAAGATGAAGCATAGAAAAGCAGTGGGCCCAGACGATATACCGATCGAAGTGTGGAAAGTCTTGGGAGAGACAGGTATAGCATGGCTCACTGACCTTTTCAACAGGATTTTGAAAACGAAGAAGATGCCAAATGAGTGGTGAAAGAGCACTTTGGTGCCTATGTACAAGAATAAGGGCGACGTACAAAATTGCATGAACTATAGGGGTATTAAGCTAATGAGTCATACAATGAAGCTCTGGGAGAGAGTCATTGAGCATAGATTGAGGCAAGAGACACGGGTTTTGGACAACCAATTCGGGTTCATGCCAGGGCGCTCAACCATGGAGGCAATCTATCTCTTACGAAGATTGATGGAAAGATATAGAGATGGGAAAAAAGATTTACACATGGTCTTTATAGATTTGGAAAAAGCGTATGATAGGGTCCCAAGAGACATTCTTTGGAGGATTTTAGACACGAGAGAGGAGTACGAGTAGTATATATTCAAGCTATAAAGGATATGTATGAAGGAGCAAAGACTGCCGTAAGAACTCATGAAGGACAAACCGAAAGCTTCCCCATAACTGAAGGATTACATCAAGGCTCATCCTTAAGTCCTTACCTTTTTGCGTTGGTAATGGATGAGTTAACAGGACATATTCAAGATGATATTCCTTGGTGTATGCTTTTCGCAGACGATATAGTGTTGATAGATGAAACTCAAGAAGGGGTAAATGCGAAGTTTAACCTTTGAAGAGAAGTGTTGGAATCTAAAGGTCTTCGCCTAAGCCGATCAAAGACAGAATATATGGAGTGCAAATAGAGGCCAAAATGAGTTAGGGGTGAGGATCGGAGATCAGGAAATCCCAAAGAGCGATCGTTTTCGCTACTTAGGATCTATCTTGCAAAGGAACAGAGAATTAGATGGAGTTCTCAACCATAGAATACAAGCTGGATGGATGAAGTGGAAAAGTGCATCCGGCGTGTTGTGTGACCGCCGTCTGCCACTGAAGCTCAAGGGAAAATTTTATAGGACGGCAATAAGGCCAACGATGCAGTATAGCATAGAATGTTGGGCAGGGAAGCATCAACACGTATACAAAATAGGTGTAGCGAAGATGAGGATGCTTCGTTGGATGTGTGGGCACACGAGAAAGGATAAGATTAGGAATGAGGATATCCAAGGTAAAGTAGGAGTAGCCGAAATTGTAGGAAAATTGAGAGAAAATCGGTTACGGTGGTTTAGACATGTGCAAAGAAGGCCTACTGACGCTCCGGTTAGAAGATGCGACTACGGGATAGAGGTTCAGAGCCGAAGGGGTAGAGGAAGACCTAGGAAAACTTTGGAAGAGACTCTAAGAAAAGACATAGGGTATTTGGATCTAACAGAGGACATGACACAGGACCGAGCACAATGGCGTTCTAAGATTCATATAGCCGACCCCACTCAGTGAAGAAGGCTTTGGTGTATTTAACACAATACATTGAAATGAAACAAAGCTTATTTATTGATATCTCCGATAAGTTACAAATATGTACATATACATGAGTCAAAATAAACAAACAAGAGGGAGTCTTCACAAAGGTTGCTTAGGAGAAGTCTCAGCAGTCAGTATAGCCCTAGAAAGAGAAGGCACCGGAGGGGGATCATTCGGAGCCTCAGTACTGGACAGAACCCTAGAAGGAAGAGGCATCAGAGGTTGATCATTTGGAGCTTCATTACGCGGTACAGCCCCAAAAGACGAAGGCAATAAATGCCTTTGGAACAAACCCACAAACCGCTGATGATCAAGTAAAACCTGACCATCAGATTCCTTCATCTGGTCAAGCTTTCTCTTCATGTTTGTAGCATGGTCATGTGCGAGTCAGTGCAACTGTTTATTCTCATGCTTGAGCCCTCTAATCTCCTGTTTGAGACTCATCACTTCAGCCGCCAATGATTCAACTTAGCAGGTTCGAGCAAATAGGCGTTGGGCCATATTAGACACAAAACGTGCACACTGAACACTTAGAGCCAGAGAATCCTTAACAGCCAACTCATCAAACCGTTTGGAAAGTAGTATGTTATCTTTGGGAGTGAGAAGGTTCTTGGCCACCACCGCAGCAGTCATATCATTCTTCATCACGGAATCCCCAACGGTAAGAGAACCAGTAGGGGATAAGAAAGATGGGCGCCATATGTTGTTTGGAGAAGGCGGCTGCCTCTTCAACAAGGTTCAAGTCAAAACAACGGTCGGAGGGGCCAAACATTTTCAAAGGTGTTGAAGAGAGAAAAGGTCGGACAAATCAAGATCTTAGAAGTGCAAGAAGGGAGCTTCTACTGGTGAAGATATAGTGTTGATAGATGAAACTCAGGAAGGGGTAAATGTGAAGCTTAACCTTTGGAGAGAAGTGTTGGAATCTAAAGGTCTTCGCCTAAGACGATCAAAGACAGAATCTATGGAGTGCAAGTTCAGTGTAAAACGGAGGCTAAAATGAGTTAGGGGTGACGATCGGAGATCAAGAAATACGAAAGAGCGACCGTTTTCGCTACCTAGGATCTATCTTGCAATAGAATGGAGAATTAGATGGAGATGTCAACCATAGAATACAAGCTAGATGGATGAAGTGGAAAAGTACATCCGGCGTGTTATGTGACCGTTGTAGGCCACTGAAGCTCAAGGGAAAATTTTATAGGACGACAATAAGGCTGACGATGTTGTATGGCACAGAATGTTGGGTGGTGAAAGATCAACACGTACACAAAATGGTGTAGCGAAGATGAGGATGCTTCATTGGATGTGTGGGCACACGAGAAAAGATACGATTAGGAATGAGGATATCTGAGGTAAAGTAGGAGTAGTCGAAATTGAAGGAAAGATAGGAGAAAATCGGTTACAGTGGTTTGGACATGTGCAAAGAAGGCCTAATGACGCTCCGGTTCGAATATGTGACTACGGGACAGAGGTTCAGGGCCGAAGGGGTAGAGGAAGACCTAGGAAAACTTTGGAAGAGACCCTAAGAAAAGACCTAGAGTACTTGGATCTAACGGAGGACATGACACAAAACCGAGCGCAATAGCGTTCTAGGATTCATATAGCCGACCCCACTTAGTGGGAAAAGGCTTTGTTGTTGTTGTTGTTGTAGTCTACTAGAATTACTCC